TTTGAGGTGAATCGAATTTGGTTATTTCCCCCCCCTCCCTGCCTAGTTTCTACTTTTTCATTCATTTCTATTGTTAGAATATTAGATTGACAGTCTCAATAATAATAATAATAATAGTTCAAGTAATAGTAGTAATATTGATAGTATTAATAGTAATAGTAATAATAATAATACTAATAATAGTAATAGTAGTAGTAATAATAGTAATAATAATGATAATAGTAATAGTAATAATAATAATAGTAATAATAATAGTAGTAATAGTAATAGTAATAATAATAATAGTGTTTATAGCTTTTAATTGTAATGAGGTTTTCATTTTCTAGAAAACAATGAATCTATGAAATTAGAAAGACTTCAAAGGGAGGAAAAAAAATGAAGATAAAGTAATTAATAAAGTAAGTTTTCTATTGAGTTCTTTAATTTCGGGGGGGGGACTTTGATGAAAAAGTCAATTTCTTTACTTCTAATCCATTTATGAAATAATTTATGATTAATTATATAAAAAGGGTTGAATGGAATGGATTCAAGGGATGATCTTTTACTAGTTAGTAATAATAATAATAATAATAATAATGTTAATTTGATTAATTAAACATCCACTATAGACAAATTGGTAGTGAGTGACCTAGCCCTCCTATCTCATACACACGAACAAATATAGACGAAGACAACTAATGTAGCAGCAGCCTCTGCATCAATAGGCCGCAACATACATAAAGGGGATAGCAAGATCATCAAATACAATACGGAGAACACCAACCCAGTCACACTTGATGAAGAAACTCTGGAAGATGAAGAAACATTCACGTACCTGAGAAGCATCATTGATAAACAAGACGGATCGGATGCAGATGTAAAGGTGAGGATTGGCAAAGCAAAGGCGAATCTTCAATACGAACGTCAAGACAGTCAGTCCTACTGTACGGAGCTGAAACGTGGAGAACTACTATATCCATCGTCAAGAAGGTACATGTATTTATAAACAGTTGTCTACGCAAAATACTCAACATTCACTGACCGGATATTATCAGCAACAACATTTTATGGGAGAGGACAAACCAGCTTTCAGCTGAAGAGGAAATTAGGAAAAGATGTTAGAAGTGGAAAGGACATACATTGAGGAAATCACTAAAATAAATCACGAGGCAACCCCTAACTTGGGATCCAGATTGGAAGCGGGAAAGAGGAATGCCAAAGAACACATTACACCGGGAAATAGAAGCAGATATGAAAAGGATGAATGTTAACTGAAAAGAACCGGAAAGGAAGGCTCAGGACAGAGTTGGATGGAGAATGCTGGTGAGCGGCCTATGCTCCTCGACGAGGAGTAACAGGCATAAGTAAGTAAGTGAATGACTAGGCATTTAGATTTAGGTATACTATGCTGACGAACTAATCTAATTTAAAATAATAGCTAGTGAGATTTTGTACGAAATTAAAAACAAAAGGCCTTCAGGATTCCATGTGGGGGCTTGTCTTGTGACGCAGTTGGGTGATTTCCTCAATCTGTGTCCTACCCACTTCCAGCGCTCCTTCCTGATTTCTTCCTCCACTGGATGGAATCTGTTTTGTTTTCTCCCACAGTAGCTTGTTGCTGATAGTGTCTGGCCAACGGATCCGAAGTACCTTGCGTAGACAACTGTTAATAAACACTTGTATCTTCTGAATGATGGCTTTCGTAGTTCTCCAGGCTTCCACTCCATACAGTAGAACTGTGTTGACATTTGTATTCAAAATTCTTATCTTGGTGTTAGTTGATGAGACAAATAAACATTTATTCTGGTTAACGCTTAAATGAATGTTTACGTACCTGGGCAGCATCATTGATGAACAAAGAGGATCCGATGCAGAAAGAAAGAAGAGAACTGGTAAAATAAGAGCGACATTCCAACAGTTGAGCAACATATCGAAGTCAAAACAACTGTCTTTCAAACAATATCAAAGTAACAATCTTCATTACAAACATCAAGACAGTTAGTTATGTTGTACGGAACTGAAACTTCGAGAATCATTATGTAAGGATGGCTCGTTGGTAAACTCAAGGAAGCCTCAAGAAGCTCAGAAAGAGCCGAAGACATTCCATTCGATCACCGCTAGAGGAACGTTATAAAATGTCGACGTATAGCTTCCTTATTGGATGAATAAGAAGGATCCCCTATGTGTCTATTGGCTGTCCGAAATGATGATTTACTTTCGGCCAAAAACTATTAACACATGAGATTTTTGTACTGTATTTGACACTGTTTAGGAAATACACTCCTACTTACTAGTCTTCTGTCTTCTAATTTACGACGTTGCGGGTTCGATCGTTCAAGCAGTCTAGTAGTACGCGGCATAGCAACAATCTAAAGCTCTAGATATAACATATTACAATCATCATCAAAAAGTTCAAGTATTTATAAACAATTGTCTACACAAGATACTGAATATTGGTTGGCCGAATACCATGAGTAACAACCCACTGTGGGAGAGAGCGAATTAGCTTCCAGTTGAAGAGGAAATTAGAAAAAGACATTGGAGGTGGATATCATATACATTGAAGAAATCAACAAACTGCATCACCAGACAAGCGCTTGCTTAGAATCCTGAATGTGAAAGTAAAGTATGAAGAAAATGGAACACATTTGTTATGTCCCGATATGAATAGTGAATGGTAGCTTCGGGATCTATTTGTGAACCAATACTATGCATATAATTTTTATCGTATAGTTGTTAACTAACTAGACTATTCATATTCATGTCCTCCTTATTATGAGCTTCATTTTGACCTATGAACTATTGTTAAACGATTTACCATTATTGAATTATGCCCTGTCTATCATTTACTAGCTCCCTTATTCACAGCCACATTTGGCTAAATCCTGTACAAATGTAGTTCCCTATTTTATGGTACTATGTGGTCTGTCTTGTTGGTATATAAACCCATTATATTTGGAATAAGTGATTGATAATGCAGAAGCTATTATTGGTGTTCTGGACTTAACTGGCTGGGCTAGGCGGAAAGCAGGACCGATAAGGATTCTAGATCGCTTGTATGGGTTTTACGCTTCATTGGTTCGATCAATAATTCACTGCTCTCTAATTGGTGGCTACAAGATACAATAACATTGCTTTGGGAATCGGGAGCAGACATGAAGAGAATAAATAGGAATGGATAAAAACTGGAAAGAATTTCTCAGTACAGAGTTGGATGGAGAATGCTGGTGGGTGGCTTATACTCCTCCATGAAAGGTAACAGGAGCAAGTAGCAAGTAAATGATTTCTAAGCCTTACAAGTCGCATCAACCAACCTCATAATTCCAAATTCTATTCAAAACTCCTACTGTAAAATTCTTGGTTTATGACTACACTACTTACTAATAATCACCATTTATCCGTTTTTCTTGTACTATATTGGTTAACTTAATTGTTGATAAACTGGATATTCTCTGTTTGGTTAAAACATATTTTGTATTGGTTGTTTAAATCATCCTATAGACGATTAGGATTGTCACTAATCCGTCTCACATGACATATATACATCCTATACAGATTGCCTCGACATTGACATTAACTCACAAGCACTATGAGCAGAGTTGATTGGCGATTAGTAGTCGAATCCATGATGCGTGTTTCATTCTATTTGAGGCTCTTCAGCCAGATGTATCCGATACATTGCACAGTTAATGTTCACTCTAATACTCGAATCAAGTAAAGTTCACATCAAACATCATCGCATTATCCACTGAGCTACTGAGATAAGATAAATACAGGGAAAATTCAAATAAACAATGAACAGTGATTAAAATTCACCCTGTTGCACAAGTCAGTGGGTATTTGAACTGAGTAGTTAAGTGGATAATAGGATTGAGTTTGAAGTGAACGGTAATGAGTTTTAGTTTTGGATTGAATATCAACTGTGAGATGTAGTTGGCACATTCATCAGGTGAATCTCAAATAGAACGAAATGATGTGTATCCTGAATTGCATTGCTAACCACCATCCAACTCTGATTGCAAGTTACTTTTTTTTCGTTCTTGACTGCTTTGTACTAGATTGCAATTTTGACTTTAACTAATTATGACTTATTGTGTAACTATATATATTTTTTATAGATAGTTATTTCCGTGTACTCTAGATCATCATCTGACTCAGATAACTCTCAGATGCATTATTTAAGTGAATTAAATCCTTATCCAAATAAGTGTAACACTTTGTCTTTTTGGGTTTGCTATGCGATAAATTATTGATTACCCCCAAATGCCCTGGTACGGCCGAGAGTGGGGGGAGTCCGTTCTCCCTCTCCAAATACTCTCATATGGCCACGGGTAGACAGCTTCTGCCAGGGAATCCCTACTCATTGCCTTCTCGTGGCATCACTGTTCGTTACGAAATCGATAGGACGAAAAGCGAATGTCGGGCGCTTTAACCGAGTTGTAGACCCTCCATGTCCACCTCGGGGAGTTGGAAAACCCTGCTTCCAAACTAATGGTACACATGGACTGCAGTATCCTTAGGGAACAAATGGTGTATGAGCCAATCATTGATCACCAGCTATCATGGGACTGCATCTCCTTACGATGTTCCACTGCCTTGTTAATCAGATCTTTCGGTCAAAGGCTCGGGGTGTGGGTCCCTAAGCAAACCACCTGCTTCGGTTTGGGCACCTGGGCAGTATCACAGTCCTCACACAAATCAAATGATGTTCGTGTAGCGCATATATATCTGATGTCTCTTTGTACCAATATTTATGTGTTCAAATAAATAAATAATTCATTTATATCACTTAGATTTTCAGTGGATACAGATTAGCTTTTCTTTTCCGAGAACCTTTAATCGTTATTGAAGTTGGTCTGTATAGCAGTCTTTTAACGGTATTTAGCTTAATGAATTAAAAACGGTAGTTATATATTGCTTCCTTAAGGGATTTAAATATAAATCATTCATTCCTACAGCTAATATTGATTGTCAGGTTGTTACTGACTAACTCTGAAAAACTGTCCTGAGTACACTGATTAGTCACTTGATAGTTCTTTGAAATATACATAATGTATAATGTTCACTCTTATAATTTAAACTTATAAAGCGAAATGATGATTTTATGGTTCACATTACAAACTGACCCTATTGAGATAATCGTTGAAAACTAGGAAGGATTAGGAAGCTGTTCCATAATAACGTCAGACTCTTCAGTAGCAATACGCATCCTATAGACTATTGAGTTGGGACCTAATGATCTCGGATGTTTAACTTAAATTAGTCTACAATACTACGTAACTAATATGTAGTGTCATTGGTGGATAAATATCTTACATCAGATATGAATGAACACTGCTAGTCATGGTTTTTCACTAGAACAATAGGAGTTGGCTCTCGAAACTAGTCACTAATGAGAATAGAAGGGTTTTCAGCTTACATTGTTTGAAGAGATTGTTCAATTTTGTAGTTTTCATCATAAACAACCAAAGAAAACCACGAAGCATTGGACATTTGAGTAAGAATATAGTATAGGGATGAGTTTGGAACGACCATGACAAGTTTTTGACTAATCATTAACCAATCAGAAAACACATTTTATAAATGGATAGTTTTTAGGAAAGAAGACAATGATGCTTCAAAAGTAAGCAGATTTTATACAACTAATAGATAGGTTAATGTCTTCGACAGGTTCATCTACCTACAAACTGAAAAACAATAACAAAAAAACTCGTCATAGTGGATACAGACTATCCATATTCTCGAACTCTTAAAATGATTCAAACATCTTTTCAAGAGTTCCCACATCGTTTTTTGTTAGAATTAGGTATTTAGGGTTAGGTTTAAAGGTTAATGGTCAGGGTTTTCCTCACAAACTGGTATCACATATAATATAGAGAATGCTTCATAAACATATGGATGAACGAATTACATTCAAATATCCACTAGTTGCTGTCTGATTAGTTTATCCATAAAATATTATGTCATCAGCTTGAGATTTATTTCAGAATAAAGTGTTTAGGGTTAAGATTTGAGGATACTGTCAATTTGCCTGTTATATGAAGTCTAAAGTGAGAGAATTAAGCATTTAGTATATTCAATACCATCGCCTTTACTCTGTGGTGGAAAAGAATAATTCCTCGCTACTATTTTACACGTTTTAAGTAGTATGCAACAATATGATATTTGAATTACGTGCAAAAGTATAAGTCTTATTGTTGGTTCTTAATTGGCTTATCCTTGTATTATTCTTTTATTGTTCATTGTTTCGTCCAGTACCCTACTTCTGTGTGTTATTGCATATCCACCACTTCATTACTTGGAACTCAATAATAATTGACTGATAATCTCTTCTTAAGAAACGCATAGAATAGTCCACGATATATCTTCCTATAATTCAAACCAAAATATGGTTATGAGAATGATACTAGTATTGGCTGTAGTTTGATACTCAATACTAATAATTTTATGGATTTGTTATGAAATTAACCCTACATAGAATATGATGTATTGTGTGGCTATTCCAATGAACTGAATATTGACTACGGTTATAATATGGATATGAACCACTGATTTAGGATTCATCAATGTTACCGTTTAGTATTTAATCAATCCACAGTTTAGATGTTAAGCGTTCTCTCGTGTGCAGTGTCGAAATATTGACTAAATCCCACCTGGAGCCCTTTTAGTATTACTCCCAGTCTCAAGCCCGGATAAAGTAGGAGAATTGAGCGACCTACACTCTACAAGGGGTAACAAGTTTAAATAAGTAAGTATATACCGACTACAATCACAATATGGATGTAAAATCAACATTGAATACAATTCTCATAACCTTATCATGAAGCAGAAGGTATCATCATTACGACCATCACCACCACCACCACAACAACAACAAGTCAATCTGAAAATTCAACATCACAAAAACAAAATATGATTACAAATTTTAATGTTTATTCAATAATAATGATAATTGGTCACAAGAAAAAACAATGTTGACAAAGTTCTTTTCATTTCTGAGTATATGTAGTTGTGGGCGTGAGTGTGTGTGTGCGCATGAGTGGGTACTTATGTATGTATGTATGTATATGTGTGTGTGTGTGTGCATGTGTACAGACGTCCAATTATATATGGTATTCCAAAGTAAGTTACATCAAGTGGAATACAAACTAGACATAACATATGAACTCATTATATAATCACGAAAATTTGGGTAAAAATAAAGAGAACGTGAAATCATTGATTTCTGTTTATTCGATTAATCAATACTTCAATTACTAATCAATATGTATAATAAAACTAATGTTATAGAAGGAAAAAGAAATAACATTGAACAGAAGAAAAAAAATAATATCCAAACACGTAGATGAAAATACCTGGCAACGAAAAAAAGAGAAAACATAGAAGAAATGAGTAAAAAAAAAATACACAAAAATTAAATCAAATTTCCGAAAACAAAAAACAATTACTAAATACATGATCAATATAGTTGATTGACACAAAAAAATATTGAATAATTACTTTAATCAAAAAGGGGGTTTTGTGGAGATTTCAGTATTTTCATAGTTGAAATCATGAGTCAATTGAAGCTAGATCACCAAGAAAAACCTAGATGCACTAGACGGCCGTTTTGTCCTATTGTGGGACTTCTTAGTGACAGTGCGCATCTATAATCTCGCCTAGTGAGATTCGAATCCAGGACCTATCAGTCTCGCGCCAGAGAACTTAACCTCTAGACTAATGAGCCGACATTAAATGGTGTTAATGTCTAACTTTAGCCAATCCACGAAGTTGAACAACTTACATAAAACTTTGGTTTAGCATAGTTTCATATCAACTACTTTCAACCACCCATCATTGCCACATATATACTGATCCTTCTAGTCTCAGGTTGAAAGTCGTATGAATTTTAAAGCTCCAGTGAATTTTACATAAAATAATTTTGTTTGGTATGATAAAACAAGAATTTCGCTGTTGAATATTATAGATTAGAGAATACCATACCACAAACAATTCCTGATTAATATCACTTCCCTATTAATTAGAAGACAGGTGTTTTATAAAATACTGAATCCTGTTGTTTAGTTCAATCTTCCCATTGATGTTTTAGGACTGCAACTGGTCAGTCTCTTATTGGCATATGTACATAGTTTCCGTATTGCCTCGATATAGCCTAAATTCACAAGCATTGCAAGCAATGATGGATAGTGGCTAGCAGTGGAATCCAGTTTGATGCGCGTTTCGTCCTAAAAACATCAATGGAGAGATTCAAACAAACAATACCAAATGAATTTAAACTTCACCCCATTGCACAAGCAAGTAACTATCAGGACTCAGTGGCCGAATGGATAATGCGAAGGTGTTTCAAGCGAAAGGTATTGGGTTCGAGTTCCAAAGTGAACATCAACAAGTCTGGGATGCAGGTATATCCAGCTGACGAGTCCCAAATAGAACGAAACGCGCATCAAACTGGATTCCACCACTTCTAGCCACTATCCATCTTTGTTTATCATGCTTGTAAATTTAAATTCTTAAATTGTTATCATTTGATTTACAATTTAGCAAACACTTTATAAATCTATCTAAGATCAAATGCGAAAAATTCTATTACTACAATGAATATTCTCTCTGTATATCACTTACATTTAACTATTTATCATTATGTGATTTTATCCACTTCAAATGAAATTAAGTATACCATAGAAAAAACATTACTTAGAGATAAACACTTATCATTTACTCTAGTACACTTTACCCTCTTTATCGAACTACTTCCATAAGAATTTTACTCAATGGTATATACTAAGAAGAAAACAACCACCACAACAACACTTTCATCTTGTTTTTTTATGCTTCTCTTACATCATTAACATAATTAATTTTATTTTCTAATCTGATCTACACTCTATTCTTACTTGTATAATGCTTGATATCTCTATACATTGATTAATTATATATATATATATACATACCTCCTATATATTACCAATCATCTTATAAGGACAGAGAGAGGGAGTGGAGGAGAGAGGGGAGAAATGATATTTGAAAAAATTCCATAAGGAAAATCGTTCGGGGAATCGATAAAATTAGAAGGATTCCTCTAGCACACATACACACACGCGCGAAAAAAAAACATATACCTATCTACTCTTATATAAACAGAACTATTTCTGAAAATAATTTTCATCTTTTTTTTATTTATTTAAACACATAAATATTAGTACAAAAAGCACCAGATAAATATGCGCCTCACAAATCTCATTTGATTTGTGTGAGGACTGTGATACTGCACAGGTGCCAAAACTGAAGCAGGTGGTTCACATAGAGGGCCACACTCGGAGCCTTCGACCTAAAAGTCTGATCCACAAAGCAGTGAAGCATCGTGAGGAGATGCAGTCCCATGGTAGCCAATGACCAACAATTGGTTCATACGCCATTCGTTCCATCAGGATATTGGAGCCCATGTGCACCATTGGTTTGGAATCAGGGTTTTCCAACACCCCTAGGTGGACTCGCCTAGTCCACCAACCCGGTTATAGCTCTTGCCGGACATTCGCTTTCCGTCCTGTCAATTTCGTAAGCAATAACCCCGCCACGAGAAGGCAGTGAGTAGGACTTCCCTGTCAGAGGCTATATACGAGTGGCCACATGAGAGCATTTCGAGAGAGAGAGCGGACTCTCCCCACTCTCAGCCGTACCAGGGCATTCGGGCATTTTCATCTATTCACTTGGTATTGTTTGTTTGAATCTTCCGATAGATGTTAAGGATTGCAATTGATCAGTCTGTTATTGGCATATGTGCATACTGTGTCTATTGCTTCGATGTAGCCTTAATTCACAAGCATTATAAGCAAATATGAATAGTGGCCAAATAGGATGAAACGCACGTCCTGGATTTCACTGCTAACCACAATTCATCTTTGTTTATAATTTTCATCTATATTAATTTTGTAATAATAATTGTGTGTAGTAATTAGTGCATTCTTAGTGTAATTTTTATTATTATCAGAAGGGGTTGTGGATGCGCACTGCTGAGGAGTCCCGCAATGGAACGAAACGGCCGTCCAGTGCTTTCAAGTTTTCCATGGTGATCTAGCTTCAATTGACTCACTCTTTCAATTATGTAAGCTTTATTCCCAATTGTATTGTAATACTCATTACCTAGACTCCGTCAATTCAATATAGTTTGTTTCTTTTTTATTGTCTATTTTGTGAAAGATAAATTTTACAAAATCAGATGAACAAAATTGTTACTGAACAGAGAGAAGCTTCAGAGGAACTTATAATCGAAATATGATTCCCATTTAAACATTAAAAATACGAAGTTCAGCGAACAGATCTCTTTTCATCAAATTTATTATCAAGCTATACAATCGTATCTACCAGTTCACCTGCTATTGCGGAACTAGGTTAATAGATCATAGCCAGCTCTCACTTTCATCTCGGATACAAGAACATGTCCCAGTGTGGTTCTACAAGGGTAAGAGGAAAGCAGACAGAAATTTCATTCTTGAACATCTAAACGACTCTAATCAATCCACTAATTCAGAGGTTGATTTTAAGGTTAAGTATGCAATTAGTACAAATCTACCTAGAATTCTATGTATCCAACTACTTAAAATAACAGAAGCTCTTACCATACATGAGCTCAAGCTACAATTGTCAGTATAAAAGAAGTACGTCCTATCGTTATCGTTACATTGACCTTAATCTACTATTATAATTATTTTGCATTTCGTAATCGCCCTACTCCTTTTACTTATGTCTCATATCCTCATAACTTTATTTATAATTAAATTCATTTAGTATTGCACAAGCAAGTGGCTATCAGGACTCAGTGGCCGAGTGGATAACGCGAGGCGTTTGAAGCGAGGGTACTGGGTTCGAGTCTCAGAGTGAACATCAACTCTGTGATGCAGGTACATCCAGCTGACAAGTCCCAAATAGGACGAAACGCGTGCCCTGGATTCCACTGCTAGCCACTATCCATCTCTGCTTACCGTTTATTTATAATTGTTTTTGATATCCTTTTACTTAATTTTGCATTTTTATTACCTTTAATTACCTTCAATTACTGTAACAAATGCATTTTGATTATCTTATCGCATTCATATGATAATTCGTTGTTAACTTATTCATTTCATTGTTATTATTCACACTACATAATCCACTACAATAATCTTTCGATTGCATCATGTTTACGAAGGAGACTATAATTTCTGGACGACCTTTAAGCGACCCTCAAGTAACCCTGAGAATATTCACTTGCTAACTAGAGCTATTTTGGATTATTTTTTATGGTTAGTATTTTTTAAGCGAGTTAGTTTTTTCTACGGGATGGGGTCACTAACCCAATACTCAACCTTCCTCCTTTACCTGAAATTGGGACCGGCAATAACTCTAGAAGAGCTAAAAACGGACAGTCCTACTGTACGGAGCTGAAACGTGGAGAACTACTACAACCATCATCAGGAAGGTACAAGTATTTATAAACAGTTGTCTACGCAAAATACTCAACATTCACTGACCGGATACTATCAGCAACAGCGTTTTATGGGAGAGGACAAACCAGCTTCGAGCTGAAGAGGAAATTAGTAAAAGATGTTAGAAGTGGATCGGACATACATTGAGGAAATCACCAACCTGTATCATGAGGCAATCCCTAACTTGGAATGGTGAAGTGAAGCGGAAAAGAGGAATGCCAAAGAACACATTACACCGGGAAATAGAAGCAGATATGAAAAGGATGAATGTTAACTGGAAAGAACTGGAAAGGATTGCCTAGGACAGAGTTGGATGGAGAATGCTGGTGCGCAGCCTATGCTCCTCCACGAGGGGTAACAGACGTAAGTAAGTAACTAGAGCTAAATGATGGTAATAAAGTAGTGTGAAGAATTCAAATCATGATTTACAATTGACGGTCAGGGTTAGAAACTAGATTTAAAGTTTTCATCTCGAACTGACAACAGGTAAGATGTTATTTAACCGAACGGATGAATGAATTTCGTATCAAAATCCGTGATCTGTTATCTTATATCTGATTGGTTCATCTATAAATTATAGTTTGGTCACTTGATAATGAATTCGTTGAAGAAAATTATAAGTAATGTGAAACAGTTTATTTATTTATTTTTAATCTAATAATTATCACAACTACGTTTATCAATCTTAATCGCTTCAAGAAGTAATTAAACACACACAGAACTGAAGTTATGTGACTTGACTTGTAATTGACTTCACTGGAAGAAAACATATTCAATTACTAATTACTATAGAATGACCTAGAATCATTTCAATAGAGTTCATATTCATATTCACTTATGCTTATTGATAAGAGTATAACTAATGAATCATATTGGAGAATAAAGAGACAAAT